ACATCAAATGATGAGCCTGAGCCGCCCATGAGCCGACGAGCCGCTCAGCCTGTTTGACATCGATAAGGGTAGCCGAAGGACATATTATGTATTTTCTTTTTATTTATTTGTTTTATTCTTTCTCTTTTTAAATTATTTTGAATGATATAACTAGGGATGTAAACGAGCCGAGCCGGCTCATGAACTGAAATTTTCGGCTCGGGCTCGGCTCGAGTAAATCGTAACGGGCTTTTTTTGGGCCCGAGCTGGCTCGGCCAAAAAAAATAAGGCTCCGAGCTCGGGCTTTTTATGAGCCGAGTCGGCTCGGTTTTTTATTTATTTATTTTTTTTGCAATTTTTAATGACATTTTTTTCACATGCTAATTGTTGTGGTGCAAATTGTTGAATGACATTTTTTTGAAGAATTTAAAAATTGCATCATTTATTATTTATACAAATTACAAATTAAATAAAAGTACAACTTTCAAAATTATGTAATTTATACGAATAACAAAATAAATAAAAGTTACAAATTACAACCCTCCTCCTTTTTCCGGGCTTGGGACCGGCTGCAATCAACATAGGCAGAGTTAAAATTGTACACGAATAAAATATTTCGTGTACAATTTTTTTGAATCAAATAAATTTAAAAAATACATTTCTTAAAGAAAAATAATTAATTTAAAAACTTACAACATCTTATGTTTGGATATGCTGCAACTCTTCGGTCATTATACTATCAACATGTTCTTGAACACGTAATTCTGCACATTCCCAATCCTTCAAACATATCAAAACCTCCAATATATCTTCTTTTAGTCTTGATCGTTCATCTGATAAAATTCGACCACCTAAACTGAATGCAGCCTCCGATGCTACCGTAGACACCGGAGGTGTTAGTAGATCACGTGCAATTTTTGATACAATTAGATATTGTCTTTCGTTACATCTCCACTAATTTAAAAGACTAAATTCTTGTAATTCGTGCCGTTGCAACACACTACGAACATCTACGCACATATACCTAGCTAATTCAGAAGGAATTTCAAGATTTGTACCACCAATATTGATTGCTCTAGATGTTGATGAGTTAGAACTAGAACTAAATGAAGGAGCACTTGTATTGCTATCTAAATAATTCCATAAATTTTCGGGATTTGTTGAAATATTTCTTGAAAAAGAACTTTGGGAAGTAGAACTACGCTGACCTTCCTTTTCAGCATAATAATTATACATTTCACATAAAAAAAGATTCTATATGCACGTGTGATAATTCTATATTCAAAAAATCTGATATCCCCTTTACAGTAGTTTTTGTGTCAGTTAAATTAAGTCGAGGGTCCATTACTGAAGCTAAAATAAATAAAGAAGGCAACTCTTCCCAGTATTTATAAAATTTTAACTCCATACAGCGAACTACATCAGCAAAAAAGTGGCAAATTCCTATATTTATGAAATGCTTGTGAAATATAGAAAAAATGTTGTAAAACAAGAGAAGATGTAGGGTAATAAACACCGCTACATTCCTTTGTAGTATCGAAAAAAGGTTGTAAGAATTTTTTCACGTAAAATGCAATAGTCCATTCCCAATCTTCCAAATTATGTTCGGGTCCGAGTGTATGCCTACCATTATAATATGGTGAAATCACTTTATCGTAATTTTCACACCAATGTAACATAAGATATGTAGAGTTCCACCCGTGTGTTACATCAGTGGCAAATGATTTCTCCTGTAATCCATACTCTGCACACAAACTATTAAATGCTTGTTTTCTTGCTGGTGACACAATAATAAAATTTATTGCTTGTCTAATTTTATCTAAAGGTGAACTTATATGTTCTAATCCAACTTTTACAATCAAATTAATAATATGACATACGCAACGTTGATAAAAATAAATTTTCAAATACGGGATTAAGATCAGCAATAAATCTTTCAATAACAACTTTGTTTACTGCAACATTATCAAAAGTAAAATTTCGAACCATATCTTGTATATCAGATTCCTGTATGATATCTTTTAAAACCATGTATATATTAGTGGCATTATGGGAAAATTCTACACATCTGAATGCAGTAATTCTTTTATGTAGAAGCCACAGGTGATCAATATAATGAGCCGCAGCAGCAATATAACCTTTTCTATTACAACCAGTCCATAAATCAGAAGTAAACGATACAACACTATTAAAACTTTTTAGACCTTCAATAGTAATTTGTTTTCTTCTGTTATATAATTTTATGCTATCCGAACGAAGAGTATTTCTAGAATAAGAAGAATACCTCGGTTGGAGATATTTCTGCACGAGTCGGGTAAAGTGTATTGAGTCTATCATCGTAAGCGGCATCTCTGCTGCAGCCACGTATGCAGCCATTCCTTCACGAAATCTTTCCTGTGAATATACAAAGGTGGAAAGAGTAGAATTAGAACCGCCAAACACTAGTTCGATTTGTTTCGAGTTGAGATCGACTGGTTTTGCTTTGCAACTCCTCAATACGTATCTATTCAAATGCGTTGTGCTCGAGCCAGGCTTCCAACTAAGTTCTTTGCCACAATAATTGCAACATACTTTCAAAATATCTACTCCATTTCGAACACCAATTTTTTTTCGTGTCATATGTTGCCAACAGTCCGATGATTCTTTTTTTGACCTTTTTGTCTCGAGTACTTGAACTTCTTCCTCTTCAATATCCTCCAAATTAATTGAAACATTTTCACATGCATCGTAGTTAGATGGAGTACTCGAACTACCCCAAACTGATTAACTTCATCACTTGTAAAATCCATAATAACTAGTATAATAAAAAATACTGAATATTAGACTGTAAAGTGAAAGAAATTGAATATATTAATTGTTATATGAGAAGTGAGAAAGAAGAAATTGAAACTTGAATCTGAATCTATGATATAGAAATAATGCGAATTAAAATCGATAGCAAAGTGATTTAAAACTTCAAAAATCATCTCGTATTTATAGATAAAAAAACCCGCATTATTTTTCAAATTTGAATTTAAAAAAGATAACAGTGTAGTGTACCAATACGAAAAAAAGGCAGCTATAGGCAGCAGGTCACAGCTGCTACAGGGCAGCAGGGCTGCTGCCGTGCAGCAGTTAAAATATTTAAAAAAAAATTTTTTTCTTTAATTTGCTTGGGCCGAGCATTTTTGTCACGGGCCATTTTTGGCCCGTGACAGGCGAGCCACACGGGTTTGCTCGGGCTTGATCCCTACGAGCCACGTGCCGGGCGGGCTCGAATTTTTCCCGAGCCGAGCCACGAGCCGCTCGAGCCACCGAGCCTTTTTGACACCCCTATATATAACTATGGATCCTTTCTTTAAAATTTAAATTGATCAAATTTTGGTCAATGGATGACTCATAGGTCAACTATCGGTATTGATGGAAATCATTCATGGGACCTCGTGCCACATGTTAATTGAAGATTTGGTAATATACTAATAAAAATGAAAGGTTTGAAACGATTGATGCAATTTATGGTCAGCATCATGCACCGCCGTTTGGAAGCGTCGGACTTAGTGCCATTAGTGTCAATTTCCTAGTTTGTAAGAGTCCTTTTTTGTCAACTTTGCTTATTAAGGTTTGCGAGAAATTCATACAAATAGCACAATATGTGAATAGAATAATTCTACTCCTACAAAGTTTGAGTATAAAAGTGAAGTGTAAAAGTGTGTTGGCAAAATCTGAACCCTTGATTTCAAATAATTTAAAAATCCGTTTTTGAAATTATTGGTATAGATTTAAATTTGTAACGTAACTTTGTAAAATCCCTTTGTCGTCGTAGCATAACTCATATGAATATATACAATGGCATAACTTTCATCCTCACGATAGAGGAATTGGTTCTAAAGGGTAAAGGACTAATATTAATTGTCAATGACATTTGTTGACCTTAAATTCCATAACAATTTCTTAGGGCAATCCTTGTGGATTGGTCCGGGGTGTTCCACTCCCGCTTTTGACCTCTGTCAACGGTATTCAATCCTTCCTCTCTTCTTAGTTTTCACGCAAAAACAGAGGTTGGAATTGCCCCAGTTCCTTCCAATTATGTGAAATGGGGTGTGTCCTCACTAAAAAAGTGCAAGTGGGTTGGCGAAGAGACGCGGCTCGACAAGGAAGGAATGGAAAATAGTCAAGATGCAATAGCAGTTGGTAAGTGAGAACCACCATCGAAAAGAGTGTCACCAGGTACAAAGACCAAAAGATATCTCAACAATACAAGTCTTTGTTTGACTACCATTAAAATTTTAATACATTTTTCTTTCTTCTTTTCAATCATAAATTCTCCAATAAAATGATAATACTTGTAAACCAAAATTTTTCCTTTATTTAATTACACATTCTCCAAAAAATTATTATTTCAAAATACATTATTTCTAAATTCTCATTATAGTGGGGGCCAAACAAGGCCAAAAGTGTTGTTCAATCCTATTCTCAAAGTCCAGGATAACTGGATAAGGGATGTTGAGTGGGTCCGAAGAAGACATCATTTTTAGGATTATTCTTCTTAGATAGGGCCAATGTGGCCCTGTCCATTCTGGGGGCAATGTAGCGTCCCCCCTATTGGCCAGGTTGTCCATATAGCAAAGTTATCATTTTGATAGTACGAAGAACAAGTTTGATGTGATAGGCCAATTGCTAGCACTTATTCTCCTGATTTTGTACAAACATTCAAAAAGAGTAATAAAACAAGTACCTTATTCAAAAAGTACTAGAATGCAAGCATTGGCAAGAAAACGTACTACTTTATTCAAAATTCATCTAAAAATTTTGACTTAAAAAGAAAGATATATTTTGACAACAAAATAAATATCCCTAAGACATTTTGTATTCTTGTTTATTTCGTGTACACTACGTTTTTAATGAGGCTATTGTTTTAGGATTCAACAACCTCAAAACAAATGAAAAAATTACACTAACACCTTTCACAAAATCTAACATATACAACACAATTTAACTAGTAAAAGATTTGCCTCTTACAGGGTTTTGCTCCCAGGCAATCCTCAGTTCAGAAAAGAATAAAAAAATGAGTCATCTTTAGGTTCCTCCTTGGCCATGGAGAGGGCATTGTCTGTCTGTTGCATTTGATCAATATATGGACCGATCGAGTCTCCAAAACCTGAGTAGGCAAAATCACCCGTGTCCTGCAATATCTGAAGGGTATACGAAGCATGGTTCTGTGATCCTGATACCCTGTTTTTCTGAATAGAATTGGGGAGATTTGTCATCATACCGGTAGATGGCCTAATAGCCATAGGCTGGTTCGTGTTAATATGTGGTCTGTTCATAGTATAACTGCCACTGCCGCGTGCTGCAAGAACATCATGGTTGTGTTTTCCTTCGTACGTGGTAATCACCGCCCTCAAATCATGATATGCTCGCTCTACGTGCTTCCTAAGCGGATAACCATTGTATGTACATTTGTAGTAGCTCCTGCAGGAATTGATGAATTGATGTCATTAAGGTTTCTAACTTCATTAAGGAAAGAAAGAGACAAAACATTGAGGTACTAATCATGTTTACCTACGATTCGGATTGCCCTTAACAACTTTCTGTCTGTATTTCCTCCATCTGTAACCATCATCAAGGATATCAATATCACTTGTGGTTTGAACGACGATTCTAGGTTCTTGAACCGTTTTGCTGCCCGAAGCAGATATGCTTTCATTCTCACTTTTTCCCTTCCTGAAAAACACAATGAAATTTAATACTGTAAGGTATTCTCATATCATGTAATTATTGGAACTATCAAGTGATAAACTTACCATCTCTTGGCTTCGGGTTCATTTTCTTCATCTCTCGAGTTACTCATTGGTGAGCCTTGTTCGAAATCATCATCACCGAAAGAAGCTGACGAATTCTCTGGGGTTGTGATAGGTTCCCCTATAGCATCTTCGAGCAATGAGTTTGACTGATTTAAAATTCCCATATAACAGTATGTATGATTCTGAATTGAATTCGAAGATGATCTTCGAGTGGATTGAGGCTTGGGGTGACTATGACTTCCTTTATACACTATTTCAGTAATATGACCATCCAAATTTTGACCTTTCTCTTAGTCGGACAGCTTGGAAATGTAAACTTGTAATAACTACGAGGATTTTCGTTTCCTTTGACTTGTTTCTGGTTGTATTTCCTCCAGTTGTATCCATCGTCCGATTTCTTCTGCTCCCTTGTATACTGAGTAGGTTGAGCATAGTGAGTTTGAGCCAAATTGCCCCCATATTTGATTGAATAGTAGAAACTGTTAAACAATCCAAAGAAAATAAAAAAGAAAAAGGAGGAGGTTAGGGATTCATTGATACTACATAATTAATTGAATGCTAAAAGATAGTTTAACCTAAATACAAAGAAAATATATATAAGCTAAACAAAGGAAACTAAAAAAAGACTATTCTACCCTTAATAAATAATAAATAATCCTATATTTCTTAACAGAAACATCGTGAGAGAATTTTGCGTCTGAAAATTCAATTTGCTTGTTTAGAGTATTGAATGCCTCATTTTCTTGATTCCTTCTTAACAAATCCTCATGTTGAAGTATAATCGTCAGCACCAAAACAATCAATATAAAGAAGAATGACCACAATAATAAACTAATCATTCTTTTTCTTTCTTTTTTTTTTTTTTTTTTAATTTGAGGTCGACTACACTAATCCCCTTTTGCCTCCTTATTCGGTTCATTAATTACGAGATAAATGACAGAATCAAATAAATATTAAGGACAAACGAACCACATAAATTACACATCTGGATTACATTTGAACTGTAATATGACCATAATCATTCTTTCAACATGTTGAATTACAGGGTTTTCTTTAATAATCTTGAAAATCATAATGCATGAGAATAATTCTTCGAAGAATCATATAATTATGCAATATTTGATACATATTTTATATTAAGTTGTTTCGATCCAAATAAACTATAAGAAAACTAGGATTCTAAGCATGAAACTGATTTTAAAACTGTATAGCAAATACAAAGTAATGAAAATAAAAACGGAGAGTTGTGCTGAATGTCGGGATCATACCGATTGATTTCTTCCTGCAGAAAACGAAAAAAAAAGATGAAGAACTTGAAGGCCTATTTTGAGATTGAAAAGTGAAATCAGAATACTTTCTATCCTCATCTTTAGATAGCGAACCAGTAAAACTTCCTGTAGTGGGAGATGGAAGAACCTGCACAAGCATATCAAACTTTTCACTAGTCCTATTTCCAGTAAACTCAATATCTATTAGATGAATCCTTTTACACTGTTGAAACAACAAGCTTACGTCCCTTTTTTCTAAATAAATTTAGGTGGACTAGCTTCTATACCTAGACCCCATTGCTTACTTTGATACTTTCGAACATTTCTGTGTCGGAAAAGACACACAAATAAAAAACTACAAACTATACTAAATAAATTTGAGTTCTGACTACATGAATTCTTTCCATCATCTTCAAATAGCTTCTATACCAAGAAGGACCATGCTAGGGTGCCAGAAGAGAATTGACATCCTAGCTGACAGATCCTCACAATCAGGGTGGGTGGGGTGGAATTTGTTGGTATTAATAGTCCCAATAATCCAAGAAAAACACAGAAAAATAAAAGAACACAAGAATTTTTTGCCAATAGGCCCGGATGTTCACCAAAAAATGGGTTACGTCATCACGTTGAGCTTCCACCAAAGTGATTAACGCTCTAATCCACTAGAAACCAGCAATAGAATATCAATACAAGGTTTATAAACTACAGATCTAAAAAGATCAGCCCTCAAACCCTATTTTTTCCCTCACAAATCGAACAAACAGATTACACCAAGTAATCGAACCTCACTGTTCAACCAAGAACAGATATAATCTCTACACCAAGTACACGAACTATATCTCACCAAGAACATCTAATGATTCAGAGATTACAAACAAAAAAAAAATAAAAAATCCAGAGGTTTTTTGAGAGAGAACATTACAGAAAGCAAAACGAAAGATAACCCTAGAAATCTCTGGCATAATGGTAATTGAAAAGTCTAGGGCTAAGTATAATTAAAGGTCACTTGCATCCAACGGTTCAGCCGACTACACTTGGCACCAACTGATCCATCCAGTTAAAACAAATTAAGGTCGCATTTGGAGGAAACACGAGTCAACACAAGTGGGGGCAAACCAGGTCACAAACAAACTTGGGGTCAACTGTTGGGTTCCATCATTGAGCCTGAAGGTGTTAAGCGTTATTCTTAACAATCTCCACCTTGCTTGACACTTTTGGATTTCATTGTGGACTAGAGGTTAACTCCTCCTTTGATATCATATGCTCTGTGTACCTGCAAAAGAAATTTCAGTTAGAAATAACATTTAGGAGATTTAAACAATCCCTAAATTCATGTACAGAAAGTATTTTTGTACCCATATCTGCTGGATTACACATAGTGGAAATCTTTTCAATTTTCATGATATCCTTTTCTATAATGTCTCTTATAAAATGAAATTTGACATCTATGTGTTTTGTTCTATCATGAAAAACAGATTTCTACTAAGATGTATGGCATATTGTCTTTCAGAATGTATTAAAGCATCATTACCAGTAAAGCCAATTTCATCCAACAAAATTTTCAACCAAATACCTTCCTTAATAGCATCTGTGGCTGCAATTTATTCAGCATTTGTAGAAGACAAAGCTACTATCCTTTGCAGCTGTGATTTTCAGCTTATACATGTATCATTTAAAGTAAAGACATATGCAGATGTTGATTTTCTATTATCACAATTACCAGCAAAATCAGAATCTATAAATCCTTTTAGTTTAATCCCAGTTTTCCTTTTCTAAACATTAGTCCTAAGTTTGAAGTTCCCTTCAGATATCTAAGTAGCCATTTCATGCCTTCCCAGTGTTGTTAACAAGGATTACTCATATATCTACTCAATACACTTATAGCAAAAGCAAGATCAGCCCTTGTACAAACCATAATGTACATTACTGAACCTACAGCATTTGCATAAGGGATTTTATCCATCCTATTTCTTTCTATCTCAGTTTTAGGACACTGTTCAGTAGAGAATTTAAACTGACTGCCAAGTGGTGAGGTAACTTCTTTTGCCTTATCCATGCAAATTTACATAGAATTTTGAAAATACATGACTCTTAAGTTAGAAATAGTGTGAAGTCACTTCTATTTCTCCTAATTTCCATTCCTAAAATTCTTTTAGTTGATCCTAGGACTTTCATTTCAAACTCTTGTTTTAACTTTTGTTTAATATTATTTATTTCAGTTACATCACACTCAGCAAATAGCATATCATCAACATAAAGCAAACGATAATAGGAATCAGGACCTCCACCACCTTTATAATAGAAGCAAGGATCATATTCACTCCTATTAAAGTCAAGACCTTTTATAAAAGCACCAAATTTGATATACCACTGTCTAGGGGCCTGTTTTAGCCCATAGAGTGATTTTTGTAGAAGGCACACATAGTTTTCCTTTCCCTTTTGTTCAAAACCTTTAGGTTGAGTCATATAAATTTTTTCTTCTAAGTTACCATGTAAAAATGCAGTTTTTACATCTAACTGTTTCAGTTCAAAATCAAATTGTGAAACAATGCAAAGAAGAATTCTTATAGAAATATATTTGACTACAGGTGAGAAGAGTTCATTATAGTCAATTCCTTCTCTTTGGTTAAAGCCCTTTGCAACTAGTCTGGCCTTAAATTTGACATTTCCCTCTTTCGAGTCACCTTCTTTAATTTTGTAAATCCACTTACAGTCAGTAACCTTTCCCCCTTTTGGTTTATTAACTAAGACCCAAGTCTTATTTTTGTAAAGCAAAAGCATTTCATCTTTCATAGCTGTAAGCCAAGAATTTGAATTTTTTTCCCCAATGGCCTCTTCATAGGAATTAGGTTCATTGTCTAAAAAATTCTGAATATTTAGGACATTGACAAAATCTAATTCATTATATCTCGCAGGTGGTCTTATCTCCCTCCTTCATCTATCTCTGGCGAGTTGATAGTCTTCTAAGGGGTTTATCGGTGGAACAAGTTTCAGGCTCAATCTCATGTTCACACTCAGGTTCAGGGGCTATTACTTGTTCATGAGTAGGCTCCACCTCAATCTGGTCATTAGTTTCAAGATCTAATATGGGTGAAGAGATTTCAGATTTCAGATATGAATCATTTTCACTTATTTGAGGGGCTACAGGTGTTTTTTCTTTAGTACAGGGCATGTCCATTTCATTAAAGATTACATTTCTGTTGATTATGACTGTTACCTCCCTGATCCTTAACCCAGATTCTGTAACCTTTTACATCCTCACCATATCCTAAGAAAATGCCTTTAATAGATATAGGTTCAAGTTTACCCTCATTTTGGTGTACATAAGCTGCACAACCAAAAACTTTCAGTTTGGAGTAATCAACAAGGTGACCACTCTAAACATGATCAGAAGTGTCATAATTCAAGGATTTTGTGGGGGCATTTGTTTATCAAATATGATGCAATTTTAACAGCTTTCCCCCAGAACAATTTTGTAAGTCTTGCACTAATTAACATGCATCTAACAGGGTCCTATTTATCCTTTCTGCTAGACCATTCTGTTGTGGGGGTATAGGTGACAGTCCTGTGCCTTAAAATTTCATTATTATTACAAAAATTATCAAATTACTCATTACAGAATTCAGACCATTGTCAGTTTTAAGAGCTTTAACCTTTTTGTTTACCTGGTTTTCAATTAATGTTTTCCATGTTATGAAGTTTTGAAAAGTATTTGATTTATTTTTCAAAAGGGTAACCTAGATCTTTTTTGAAAAATCATCAACAATCAATAAGAAATATTTGAAACCAGAATAGGTATTCACAGTAGCTGGTCCCCACAGATCAGCATGCAAATATTCAAGAATAGACTTAGATTTATGGACACCTGTACCAAATGACAGCTTTCTTTGTTTTCCATAAATGCAGTGTTCACAGAAGGACGCCCTTTCGATTTTTTCATTTCCTAAAGGCCTTGCTTTTTAAGAATGTATAAATTCTTACCCCTCACATGTCCTAACCTTTTGTGCCAAATTTCAGATTTTTCAGGCTGAGTAACTGCTGCTAAAATAGGTTGGTTTATCATTGGCAAAGTTTTTAAAACATAGATCCCATTAGATTTTTCAACACAAGTAATCTCTGTCAAGTTCTTTTGCAATTTCAAAATGCCTTTGTTTATAGCTGTATCAAAACCTTCATCATCTAGTACACCTAAAGAGATCAGATTTCTCTTTAGTTTGGGAATGTATCTGATCTTGTTTAGAGTCAATACATTTCCATTTTCTAGTTTTAAATCAACTTTGTCAATTCCTTTAATTTTACAAGTAAAATCATTTCCCAATATTACTTGACCCTCATTAATTTCAGAAAAATCAGTAAAGTATTCCTTATAAGGTGTCATGTGAAATGTAAACCCAGAATCAAGGATCCATTCATCCTTGACTAAAGATTGACTAGCCACACAGAATTGTCCATTTGAGCCTGCAGCTTCTTCATAAGCAATAACAGCTCCACTTTCAATTTTATTGATGTTTTTTAGTTTATCAATCCTTTTAATACAGTCTTTTATGAAGTGACCCATCTTTCCACAAAAGTAGCATTTCTTTCCTTTAGCCTTATTATTATTATGATTTAATCTGGTCTTACCTTTATGAAAATTTCCATTGTACTCTTTTGGCTTTCCAAGGTTTTTATTTGAAAAATTATTGTTGTTTCTTTTGAATTGATTATTTTCTCTGACATTATAACCAAAACCAACAGAGAAGGTTTTAGATTCACTTTGAAACTTAAGTTCTTTATTTCTTAAAGAAGCAACAATAACATCTATGGTAATGGAAGTTCTTCCATATTCAAGAGCATTTCTTAAGTCTTTATATTTTTCAGGTAAGGCAAATAATAAGGCTACAGCCTGTTGTTCACCAGAGAGTGTTTCACTATTATTTGTGAGATCTTGAGTTAATTTGTTAAATCTGTCAAGATTGGCTTCAAGATCAAGATGTGGGTAAAATTTGAAGCTAAAGAATTGTTTCCAAAGATAATATTTATTGGGAAGTGATTTTGTTTTATAAAGGGATTCAAGTTTTGTCCAAATTTCCTCAGCAGTCTCAATTTTTCCTACTTCTCTAATTGCGCTATCAGACAAGTGTAAGAAAATCAGACTCCATGCAATATCAATTTGTTCATTTCTTTTTCTTTCTATGATTTCTTTTTCTCAAGACTCATCAAGTGCTTTCACTCATTTATGTGGCATCAGAAGTGCCTTCATTTTTTGACTCCAAAGTGTAAAATCTCCTTTTCCATTCCAGATTTCTATGTCAACTT